TTGCCTCGCGCCATTCCTTCCTGTGAGGTCCCGTGTGTGCTTGCCGTGGGTTCTTAGGCTCGATGACACGTGGCGCCGTTGAGATGGCAGCATGGAGCCCGAGGAGTTGCATTCCGGTGACGGTGCTGTCGTGGCGATGCTGCGGGATGACCTCCTGTACATCGTCGTCGTCGCTTTCTGGTTCTGGTGGGGCTGATGGTGCTGCTCCTGCGTCGTTTCCGCTTCCGCTTCCTCCTGTTGCGCCCCCTGCTGCGCCCGCTCCTCCTTCTCCTGAATCATCGTCGTCGTCGTCGTCGCGTCGATCGCCTCTCGTGAACTCGCCTCTGGGGTCCTGCTCCAGAATTGCTGCTGCGGCTTCGTCCTCAGGTGAGGCGTAGCTGTGGCCGTCGTTGGCGTAGACGCGGTTCGCGTTCGTCTGCTCGTCTTTGCGGAACTGCTGGAGGAAGAGGCGCTCGTAGAAGATGACGTCGCGCGCGTTCTTGATTTTCTGGCTCCGGAGATCCAGAATGATCCACGCCTTGTACTCGTGGCTGATTCCGAGATGGATCCCCCAGCGCGCGCGACTTTTGAACTTGCCGATGGTTGATGTTGGCGGGCGGTACTGGACCATGCATCCCCACACGCGGAGCATGGATGTGTCGCCCTTCCTCCCCGTCCACTTCACGTGCGGTGAGGAGTTGCCGGTGATCGCGGTGGTTGACAGCAGGTTGTGCACCCGTACGGCGTGGTGCATTGCGTGGGTCCAGTAGGTCGGCGGAAGCTTTGACTGCTTCATTAGCGCCCGTACCTTTGTCATGAGGGTACGATTCGTGCGTTCTGCTACGCCCTGCTGCTGGTGCGCGTAGGGGAGAGAGATGTGGTGCTCGATCCCCTTCTGCGCGAGGTAATCCTGCAGCTCCTTGCTCCTGAACTCCGCCGCGCCGTCGGACTGCCAGATCTTCAACTTCTCACCGGATTGCCGCTGTGCGTGTGCCAGCCACAGGCGGAATGCTTCGTATGCTCTGCTGCGCGCTTCCACGTTTACGACCCACACGTGGCGCGTTCCAGCGTCGACGAAGGTGAGCGTGTAGAGTTCGTCGTTGATGCCGCAGTGTCCCACGTTGAGGAAGTCACTGTAGACTTTCTCTAACTTGGCGTAGCGGTTGGTTCCTGGCTCACGCAGGGGGAAGGGCTGGTGACTCAGCGCGGCCTCGGGGCAGACGGTACAGGTGCGCGGGTGAGTTCCGCTTCTTACTTCGGAGCCGTCAGGGCGCAGCAGTGCGCCGGGTGCAAAGACGCCAGCCTCGATACAGTTCTTTAGAGTCACGCGCGAAGGGTGACCTAGGCGTTGGTGCCAGATGGCATCGTCGGCGCGAAAATCGGAGGTGCGCATGTAGCGCGCGAGTGCCTCTGCGGGGTCCTCATCACTCTCTTGAGCAGGTGTCGCCGCTGCTTCCTCGGTGTCTTCTTCTTCTTCGTTCGCCGTTGTTAACATGAGGGCGAGAAATTCCCTGTCGCGAATGATGGAGTAGGGGATGTTGGTTCCGGGGATCATGCCAGGGACAAATGTCGGTTCGCGCGGTTCAGGGGCAGGTCCGTAGACAGTGCGTCGCGGGGTGGATGGCTCGTTACCCCAGTCAATGGTGTCCCAGGGGTCACTTCCTGAAGGAATGTCAGGTGGCGGTGGTGCTAATGCAGGGCGGCGCGGAGGGCGTCCAAGAGGAACAACAGGAGGTTCGACCTCAACTTGCGATGTTTCTTTTTCCTCTTCCCCCCTTTGATCCTCGCGGAAAGCTCCCCAGCCGCTCGTCTCTCCGCCAGATGCTGCGCCCCATCCGCCAGTATTTCTGCCGGTTGTGGCTCCCCAACCGCCTGTGTCACCGCCGGTTGCGGCTCCCCAGCCGCCTGTGTCACTTGTTCCCCACCCGCCAGCGCTCCCCCACCCCCCTTCATTGGAGGCGCTCTCCTTGTCATCCTCCCAAGCGAGCGTTCCGCGCGCCTCAGTGAGACTCTTCTGTCGAAGCTCTTCGGCTTCGCGTTGCGCCAATGCCTCTTCTTCCGCCAGCGAGAGTTTCTGCTTCGAATCGCGCCGGTGAGAGTATATCTCTGCCGCCTTTTCCTCGGTGTAGGGCCGTGGGTTGCCTTGTGCGTCGAAGGTGCCGACACCGACGCCGCGGAGCATCCCTTGGAGGTGCTGAGATGCGGGCCCGGGGAGAGGACTTTCCGGTGTGCGGATGACAACCCGTGTGGCTGTTTCCAGCTCCAGTTGTGATAGGCCCTCCTCAGGCGGTGCGTCGCATTCTGCTTCGATGATGGCGGCAAGGCCGCGGCCGGCGATCGCGCTTGTCGAGGATGTGGGTGTGTGGCAGTCCCTGCAGACGCCATCAGGATCAGGGTCGTGTAGCGCAAGCTCGCGCGGATGTGGGTGATGAGGCACCCAAGGGCGCCCATCAGGGTGCTTCCAGTCGCGGCGATGGATATGTTCGAAGCGCAGGGGAACAAGGTCAATCAGCTCCTGCGAATCGCCGCTGCAGTCGGGAATGTCGAAGTCGAGAACGTACACTCCGTTCTCGGCGTGCGCCCGTCCGATCTGCTTGCGCATCTTGTTCGGCATTGTGAAGTGGAGCAGAATGTCGCGCGTCTCGGGGTCGGTGCTGAGGATGACTCCGCAATCCAGGAGTTGCGCCGCCGAGAGCAGGTTGAAGCGCAGGTTCTGCACAATGAACACGTCATTCAAGGTGATGTGCGTTCTGCTCCCATGTGCCTTGAGCACAACAATGCCTTGCGCGCTTGCGCGCAGCCGCGTATTGTTCGCCACAGTGACGTAAGTGACGGCGGGGGTGGCGACGGCGTTGGATATGTAACGCTCAGAACCCACCATGTGCTGTCCACAGCAGCTGTCCAGGTACCACGTGTTGTAGCGCCTGTTGTCGTTTCGCGCGAGCAGCACCAGTCGCGGAGTGACGATGTGTGGAGTGTCAGCCTTCAAAAATTGTTCGCGTGCGATCCAGTCGATCGGTGCCGGCCGCATGTCAGGTACGTGCGGGGGGCTCTCAAGCAGCGGGACTGGGAGATTCCAGTCCTGGTTGTTATCGTCGCTGAAGTCGTGACGCGTGCTGAACGGGTTGTTGTTCGAGAACGCTCGGGTGGGAGTGAGCGTGCGCGCGGGCGACGAGAGCCGCTCGTCATGGTCATGTTCCCCATGACATTGCGGACGGGGGCAGCCTGTGATGGCTGCTGCTGCTGCTGAACTGTCGGGTTCAGGTTACGCGATGGGGGTTGATACCCCTGGGCGGGACGCGTGTCGTTCCTCGCGTCTTGTCGGCCGGACCAGTTGCTCGGATTGGTCTGACGAGGGCGAGATCGATGCTTGCATCGGTCCGCCAGATGCCCGAAATTCCTGCAGATTTTGCAGTAGAGGCGCCGCTGCCGTCGCTCTTCTGTGTTCTCGGCGTAGAAGGCGAGGCGTTCCCTATCTCGTCGTGTCGCTGGTCGCTGCTGGTCCATATCCCGTTGTTCGACGAGGAGGGCGGCGCAAAGGGCGGCCTCCGAGATGACCCCCTGCTGTCGGAGAAGCGCCTTGCAGGGCCGCCACTTTGGGCCGAGCCCTTGGAGCACGATATTTACGAAGATCTCCTCAGAAATCGTGCTCCCCAGTTTCGCGATTTGATCGCGTAAGCTTCGACAGCGATTCAGGTAACTGTTGGCCTTCTCTCCTTGTGCCATTTTGGTCTCCAGTAGCTGCTGGAGTAGACGGCTCGACGACACCGAGTCCTTCGGTTGATACACACCATTCAGATGGCGCCAGGCGTTGAGGGCTGGAGCAGGCGAGGTTTTGTATGAGCGAATGCTCAATTGCTCCGTCGGTGACATATTTCGAAGAAGGACCCCGTACGCCATCAGGGACTCGTTGTAGTACTTGATTTTTGCGTCGTCAGTTTCCTCCGTAGGTCCCGAGTAGCTCCCGTCAAAGTAGTGGAAAATCTGTGCGTTTTGCAGCAGCAGCTCCAGCTCGAAGCTCCAGGTATAGAAGTCTCTGCCGTCAAAGCACACACTTGTCATTATTTTTAATATCCTCAAAAACCTTGATTGCGCAGAGAGAATTGCTTCATCGCTGGGACAGGGAGTCTTGGGTGTTGAGCCGTTTGTGTCAAGAGAGAAGCCTTGCGGGGCGGAGTTCTGGCCATTCGAGGCCGGTTGAGTGGGTTGAGAAGATGTTCCCGCATCGCCATTCCGCAATGTTTGGAGCCCTTGCTCCAGGCTCGTGAGTCGCTGAAGCAGTTGTGCGAGGACGACGGAAGGGATTGTCGTCGTTTCCTCATTTGTCGCAGCCGGGTTGGGCTGCGCTTCAGCCGTCAGATTCGTCTGACCTCCAGATCCTCCGGCCATTCTCACACGTGAGCGTGTGCCGGACGCCACTTTCCGTTCGCCGAAGGTTTCGGTGGTGGCGGTGCGAAGGATTCCTGAGTCGCTCTCATACCATGTTGCGATCAGAAGTCGACCGACCTCAGGATCACCTCAGTAAGGTTCGCACACTCCTAATCTAGTGGTGGTGGGCCCTTGACCTCAATAGCAGAGTGAATGTAAATGCTTGAGATAATAAAACATGCAGTACAAGGAATATAAATAAGATTACAAGGGGATACCAATCGACCTAGCTAGCCATGTACTCTAAGGGGTACATTCCCTTATTGCAGCGAAATCCAACCGTGCGACTCCAGACAGTTACGAAACTGTTCGGGCAGAATCCTCGCCACTGCTGCTGCCTGATGCTGTCTGCCCGACGGTCCAGATCCTTTCGTAACCGTGTGACTCTTCGTGTCACTTCCGCCTGTTCGTCTTCATTCTCGGTAGTGCGTGCTTCGATTGCTGCGGTGAGGAGTGTACAATAGTGTTTCAATAATCACTATTCGTAACATCTTCCACCTGGCAACCTTGGACACATCCATCATAGCACACCTTCTCGCACATGAGGTGTCCACAACTCCATGGACTGAGTGGGAACCAAGCTTTGCTCTCCCTTAACGCACTCGAACCTCTATCACTCTTACCCTCCCCCTTTCCTCCGCCTCCTCTTCCTCTTGCCCCTGCGGCCCCAGCACCGCCCCTGTGCGTGCATCCAATCTCTCTCCCAGCGCAAGGTAGACATAGAGAGCAGGCACAGCGGCAAGGAGGGAGAGGGAGAGAGTCGAGAGCGCGGTGGAGAGAATGGAGGAGAGGAAGAGGTGCGTGAAGGAGGCAGCAACGACCCATGCATGCGAGGCGGACAGTGGCGAGGGAGTCAGTACGAACGCCTGGGATATGGGGAAGAGGAGCAGGAAGAAAACGGGGAGAAATAGAGGTTACGGTGGGGTTGGCAGTGAATCAATCAAAGGATAATCGAAAAGGGTGGGAGGGAAGAGACGAGGTGGGTGGGTGGAAGGAAGAAGTGGAACGAGGAGTCAGTAGCAGCAATCCTGAAAAGAGAATGCAAGTTACGCTAGTTAACCCCACAACTTACCCATACCAAAAAAGGCTGAAATATCACCACAAGCACCCTTCCCTCTCCACCCACTCCCACCCACCCCATCCCTCACCTCATCCCCCAATACCCCACCCCCCTCTTTATCCTCCCTTGCACCCCCACAGCGTCCCTTCCTCTCCCTCCTTCACCACCCTACCAATGTCCACAGCAGAGTTTCAGTGGTGATGGCAAGGGCCAGAATGAGCATGCGCATGAAGACGAAGAGGGCGAGCGAGGGCAGCAGGTGTGCGGGCAGCAGGCGCAGCACCGTGGCAAGAGAAGCCCACACGCCCTTGCCCGTGATAGCTGCCACTGGCACCACGAACCTGGGGGGGTTCGGGTAAAGGTGAAGTAAGGTAGTGGAGCAATGTGGCAGAGGGGCAGAGCGATGGGTGGATGGAGGGGAGGCAGGAAAGGGAGGCAGGGATATGGAGGATGATAGGGCGGTGGCTGTTGCACATGGAGGTGGCGATGGGTTGCCTCCGACAGCGTGGACTTGGGTAGTTGAGGGGATAGTTGAGGGAGGTGCTGGGGAAAATTCTGCAGGCCACGCTCATGTGCGAGCACGTGCGCATGCGTGCATGTTGGTGCATGCGTTGCTGCTGCATGTTGGTGCATGCGTTGCTGCTGGAGAAGTACAATGAAAATGACACTGGATGGTTGGGAGAGAGGAGGCACGGGCTAAGAAAGGGAACTCAACTCACCAAGTGAGCACGTGCAGCAGCAGCAGTTGCACCACGGTGAGCAGCACAGCAGCAGTGCCCGTCAGCAGCCCGGGCACCTCCAAGGTGGCAAACACGTACACCGCCAGCCAGGTGTTGAGTGCGGTGTAGAGTATGTACAATACGATGAGCAGCATCGCCACCGCTGCAGCTGTGCCCAGGGAGCGAGTGAGGACGAGCCTGGGGCGAGAGTGCAGGACGAGATGTCGCAGGGGATAATGGCCGGAGGGAGCAACGAGTGAAGAAAATAAAGGAAAGAAAATAGAAGCAAACAATAGAGAAACCAGACAGGAAGGTAGGAACAATGCTTTTCCAGCACGGGGGTGAGAGGGGTTATGAGGAACAGGGGAAGGTCAAGAAACAGGTATGTGCAGCACAGGGACGGACCTGAGCGCCTGACCCAGGAGAGGCAGGTGGCGACGCAGCTGTGAGAGCTGGGGTTGTGGGGTGATGCCACTGGCTGATGGCACGTGAGATGCATGCACCGCTGACCACACAGAACGCGTGCGGGCCGCTGCGACTGCTGCGTTACCGCTTGCACCTGCAGTAGCAGGGTAGGCAGCAGCAGCACCATCGCCAACAGCACCTTCCCCGGAATGCTTTCCACGTCGGATATCGTGCCTGTGGTCCCCCTCCTGTGTGCTCAAGCCATGGCCCACGAGGGCAGCAACGAGGAGGGCGAGGAGCATGGAGAAGACAACGACGGCCCACATGCCCAGGAGCAGGAAGAGCAGCAGCAGCGGCGGGTTGACGAGTTGCGTGAGGAGTGGGAGCAACCATGCTGCACACACGCCAGGAGTCTCGCCCTCCCCTGCTACCACGGCGCACAGGACAATCACCTTCCTGACGACAGCAGCGAATGGTGCTGTAACGAGGACTTGGAGGAGCAGCAGGAGCAGGAAGAAGTAGAGGATGGATTGGGAGTGAGAGAGGAGGAGGGAGGCGGTGCGGCGCAGGAGGGAGAGGGAGAGGCGTTTGAGTGGGCGGGAGCAGAGGAGGAGGAGCATGGCTAGGCCGAGGAGGGCGAAGAGGAAGGAGAACTGCACTATGAAGTGGTTCGAGTCCAAGCCCAGGAGGGGCGGCGACCCGGACGAGGATGAGGAGAAGAGGGGCGAGGACAGGAAAGGTGACACGAGGACGGACAAGGGGGGGAACGGGGAGGCGAGACATGGAGGGGGAATAACGGAAGAGATGACCAGTGGGGAGGTGAGCGGTGCGGAGTTGTTGGGAGAGAGGGATGAGGAGAAGAGCAGGGCGAGGGAATAAGAGAGGGGTGGAGATGCGAGGTGGCTGGGAGTGAGTGGCCATGCGCTGCTGGTGCTGGCAGTGAGGGAGGGAGAGAGAGCGGCAGCCGTGGCGTCTGACCACGGAAGATACTCCGTCCATCACCATTGCTCGAGCTGCTGCTACTGCTGAGGCAGCGAGCGTGCCTATACCAGCAACGGCGTGCGATGAGGCGGCAGCAACAGCGATGGGACCCGCGCTCGTGCGTACTAGTGAGTCCGAGGAGAGCAGCTGCGGCAGGCGGAGAATCAGAAACGCGCCGACGAAGAAGAGGAGCGCGACGAGCGCGAGGAGAGCGGGGAGAAGCACGGTGAGGCTGTTCCGCCGCCTCACGTACAACAGCACGCCCCACACGAGCGGCGCGGCGGCGACGACGGAAACGCTGATGCGCGCGTACGAGAGGGCGACGAGCGACATTGACGGGCCGGGGGACGGCAGCAGGGCGGAGATGAGGCAGAGCGCGCAGAGGACCGCGAGAGCCGTGAGGAAGGCTATGAGCCACACCTGGTCCCGCCGGGGCCGCGAGTCGCGCGAGAGTGGCGCGAATGTCGCGGGGGGAGAGGATTCGAAGACATGGGCTTCGGTTGAAGCAGCAGCAACAGGTGGGCAAGGTTGCGGGGGGGCAGGGGGCAGAAGAGGTGCGGAGAGGTCGGAGGAGGTAGCGGTGCTGCTAGGACGGGCGCCGCGGCAGGAATCCATGGCGAAAAGACTTGTCAGAAGCCGTGTCGATGCGTTAATACGTCGAAACGCTGGGGCTAACTCAGTTTTAAAACGAAAGCGAGGGAGCGTGGCAGGGATTTAGGAGGCTTTGGAGCAGCGCGACTCGCGAAACAGCCCTAAACATGATGTTCATCCAGCCAACAGCCCTTTTAGTTGGGGAACGAGCGCAGACTTGCAGGTTTGCAAGTTTGCAGGTTTGCATGACCGCGACGCGTGGTAACGGGTCACACAATGTTGCACGTGGTGAACATGGAGGGGTGCATTGCGTCGGAATACCACTCTTGCGAAACAGCGCTGACGACATCAGCGAGGTCGTTACGAGGGCAGTAACGATTTCTGAAGGTTACTTAAACCTATCAAAAGCACTGAAGAACTTTATAGATTCTGTTTCACTAACACCATCCCCCTATTTTGCTGACTTTGTTTTTATAGACCAGCCCTAATTTAACTGTACAACTAGCTGGTGTGTTGCTATACGGATGCAAACGAAGGGAAACCCCACAGAAATAGACATGTCAAAGAAAGAATAGGGGAACAATCAGAGAGGTGGCAAGCACAGGCTTGTTGAACTCCTTCAAAGCTTCTTTGAGGGAGTTCCTGCCCTCAGCAATGGCAGCGAAGGGCAGGAAGGAGGTCTCCTTGAAGAACTGGTCGGGCAGCTGGCCGTGCTGGCGCATGTCCTGGTGGGGGCAGCCCAGCAGCCAGATGAGCGGGTACCCTGCCCAGTACACCATGTCACCTGGGGGCACGCACACATGCGTGGAGGGGGGACACACATGCACAGGGCACACAGGCGGATGGGAGGCGTGAGAGGGGGCGCCAGGCTTGCATGTGAAGAAATGAAATGTATTTTGGCACCGGCACCGAATGGCGAGACGTGTCGTGCGATGCATAAGTAGGGAGAGACAGTGACGACAAATGATAAGGTACGCTAAATTGTTGCAGGATGCGAGGGTGGTGGTGGTGGGGGGGGGGGGAGAGAGTGGGGGGGGGGGGGAGAGCAGCGGAGGGGTAAAATCGTGAGGATGAGTTGGCGTGTTGAAATAGAGGTAAAGGGGGAGAGGGGCGTGCGCAAGGAGAAACACACTAGGCTTTTACGCAAAGACGGTGATATTAAGAATAAGTAGGGTGGGTGGGGCCAGTGGGGGAAAGATGGAGAAGGCATAGTGATGCAGGGGAGGGCACTGACCAGCGAAGGGGCGTGTGAGCATGTTGGCGGCACCGAGCAGGGCGAGGGAGGTGAAGAGCGCATGGCGTGTGATGCGGTACACGCCCTTCACTGCCACCTCGCTGCCCTGCTGCTCTCCCTGCCACGGAAAGCGCGAGGTGAGAGGAAAAGGAGTGCCTTCAACACCCCACCACCTCAACACTCACCCACACATTCTCGCAGCGACGCAGTTTGCGTGGTTTCTCAACCCAGGCAGCATGCTGTCAACCCCCCCCCTCTCCCTCTATTCCCAGCACAGTAACAGGGTGGGGTTCGCCTAGATAGCTCCAAACAGAGACACCTGAGAGCCTAGAGTGCCTACTCACATCCTCGCCGGAAGGAGTGGTCGAACCCAGCAGAGCATTGGGGCGCTATGCCAACATGAGATGCTAGTGGGACATGTGATTCGGGTTCGCTTATGACCCACCTTCGTCTCGCTTCGAGAATTGAAGATCTTCTACTTTTCTGGATCCCACCTTCCTCTCTCTGCCGCTGCCACTATTCTTCTACCTCAATTCTTTATGTAGCCGTCGCGGCCGGCCCGGCCAGCCGCGCCTACCATGGCAGCGCCGTTATTCCAATCACCAACAGAAGCACAACCGCAACGCATCAATCCCACCAACACCACGCCCCACCCACCACCCGCGCCCTCACCGCACCTCGCTCTGCTCCCCTTGCTTGTCCTTGTCCTTGCCCGTGTCCGCGGCGCGCATGGCGCGCTCCATGATGGGGTTGGGCGTCGAGATCGCCTGCCCGTACATCACCGCCGCCGCCACCTTCAGCGCCACGCCCCCCGCGCGCGCCGCCTTGTTGCCCTCCACCAGCGCCGTCCACCCGGGGACCACGCCGTGCCCGCGCGCGTACCTGCATGGGGGGCGGGGGGAGTGGCCGGGGATTTGGGAGAGGCGGAGAGGAAGAGATGAAGAGATGCGGGGCCTGGTGTAACGCGTGCGGGGCTGACACACAGGTTGAGTGCATCCGCTGCGCCTCAATAACACCCTCGTTTTCACCCAGTGGGTAGCGATGCGTTATACCTGTGATGGGTCTGGGAGGGCGGGTGGGGGGGGATGGAGTGCTGCACCTTACTACCCACGGTGGGATGGGTATCATTGAGGGGCAGATCAGAGGAAGCGCATGGTGCTGGCGATGCCAGTGATGGCCCTGGCGGAGGCGGCGGCGGCGGCGGCGGCGGCGGTGGTGAAGATCCCAAGGAAAAGCCATGGGGATATCTTCCTCTTCCCACTTCGAGGAGATGCGGAAAGGCGCGGGCGCGTCGCGTCGTAAGCAGCTGGCGCGAGAAGCGGCGTCGGGGGGGCGCGGGTGGGAAGGCACCTGATGTAGAGGAACGTGGTGGGCGCGAAGGTGGCGAAGGACACGGCGGAGTAGAGCCCGCGGAACTTGCCCTCGTCGCCCAGCTGCTGGATCAGCGCCTCGCGCACGGGCGGGTGCGACATCGCCAGGTGCGTCCCCGTGAATGCCGCCCACCCCGCCGCGACGTACTTAATCGCCGCCGCGCCGCCCAATTTAGAGGCTGCAGCTGCTCCCCCTGTCATGATGTCGTGCGGTTAAGTGAGCCTGATTACCAACGGGTACAGTCTTGCGATGAGCGGAGGGGGCTAAGCACTGCAGAGTGACACTGGAGGATAGTAGCACCCTGTGAGGAGGAATGGGTAAAGCAGAATCGCCTTGTACTGTACCCTGAGGCGTGCCGACTGACGGAACCGAGAAGGAGGAAATTCGATACAGTTTCGCGCATTCCAGCTGTTAGGATAAATATCCTGGCGAAGCCTCCTGATTGGTTGCAAATGACAGCCACAGATTCGCACCCCACCTTGAGCATGAGGCCTGTTGGAGGGGTAGAGAAGATGGCAAAATCGTGTCGTGTTCTGTCCGCTGTCAGCGCTCGAGCGCGCTATTGTTCCAGGCGTTTTGGCCTGGTTACGCGGTATTCACTGTTCAAATAGTCAACACCCCCAATGTGAGGAACTTCCCTAAGGGAAAATATGCCATTCTTTATAAACAATGGTCTCGATAACATGTTTGGTAAAACAATAACGGGTACGGTCACAGCAAAGGGTGTTTTCACGTATTTGATAAAACGTCTCACGTAATCAGTCACTATTAAATGGGAAACAATCACCCGAATGGTCATAGATGAAACTCCCGCCCAAAAAATATAGTACCCAAAAGGAACCAGGATGCATTTTCAGGTTGATCAACCCTAAACACGTAATTCGCCTGGTGTTTAGGGTTGATCCGTTCCCGATTGGGTTTCAGTTTTTTTTTTCGAAGTTAGTTGATTGGTTTGGTGTGAGTGGGAAAATTTCAGAGTTTCAAGTATTTATAGCGGGAGTTACTGTCAAATGTTATTATTCTGATAGGCTACCGTGAGGTACTCCATAGAGGGTACAATTTTGTTAGGTTTCCTATTTGTACTGCCTCCCTACCCTAATCCTATCATTCCGTTGCATGTTACTCTTGAGATGGTGTCGAGTAGGTTAGATCATAGCCCACTCCGCGCCCAAGCCTCCACGCTCGTAGCGCCCTACGTGTCCGTTGCGCCCTAGCGCCCTCCGCGCCCTCCGCGCCCTATCGGCCCTAGCGCCCTCCAAACCCGCGACCTCGCGGCCCTCGCGCCTTAGCGCCCTTCGCGCCCCTAGCCCGCGACTTCGCGGACCTCCGCGCCCCTAGTCCGCGCCTCCGCGCCTAGCCCGCGCCTCTGCGCCTAGCCCGCGCCTCCGCGCCCCTACTTCGCGCCTCCGTGCCTAGCCCGCGCCTCCGCGCCCTCCGCGCCTCCGCGCCTAGCCCTCGCCTCCGCGCCTAGCCCGCCACTCCGCGCCCTCCGCGCTTCCGCGCCTAGCCCGCGCCTCCGCGCCTAGCCCGCCACTCCGCGCCTCCGCGCCTAGCCCGCCACTCCGCGCCCTCCGCGCCTCCGCGCCTAGCCCGCGCCTCCGCGCCCACGCCTAGCTCGCCCCCTCACCCAACCCGCCTCCTTACCGTGACGGCGCTTCCTCCTCGTCTCGTGCGCACCCACCCGCACTAGGCACGAGGTACACTCCCCCCCCACCGCCCTTGTTAGGATCTAGGATCGAGCTAAAAAAAAGAGAGTTTGAATTGAATGATTCACCTGGGTACAAAACGAGGCTATATATAGTCTCGACACAAGGCCAGTTACCCAGGTGTTACGCGAATGTTCTGAGGGTCGCGAAGCATCCCGAACAGAACCTTCCCGAACTCAGTAGAAAGCAATTCGGTGGAAACCGAATAGGCTTGAGTTCGGTACACGTAACCTGGTTCGGTGCTATAACTATAATAAAATATAGGAATGCACCTAACCTAGGAAATCAAGCATATCTATGCATGATAAAATAAACCCAAGCTAGATATAGCATAATAAAGTCCAGGCAAGCTATCAAGGCCAGCATAAGCCGTCGTACTCTCACAGCCCTGTTCCCCGGGCCCACACCGTTCCTATCAGAATAATGAAGCGAGAATGATGAAACTAACAGCATGCAGGAGAACAAGTAGCAAACCCTAATTGGGTTGTACCCCATATGGGCTACCCCACTACAGCCTACACAACACGATAGTTTGACGCACCCTTTATAGGCAAAGTGGGGGAGAACAAGGGGTCACAAGACCAGTCAAGAAAAGCAAAGCAAGCTCAGGGTGGATCACAAAGTCACCACACACTCTGAGCACAAGCAAATGGCCACAAGGCCAGTTCACATGCAGAGCTATATAATGGAGAACAAGCAGTACAGTGATCAAA